GATATTCTTTTATCAACGGTGGAATACTAATCCCTTTTAAAATATATAAATTTTAATGAGATGAGTTTCTTTTTTCTCTCATGATAAAGGTTTTTTTCTTTTATACATACAAAATAATTAAATTTCTATTTACATACTTAAACAACTCAACTATCTTTTAATTGGGTTGAGCCTTGTTAGTCATTTGAAAAAAAAATTCATATTAATGAATATATAAAAGCAAATTTATCTAAACTTACTCAACTTAATAATTTATATTTTAAATCAAATTTCAAGATCTAACTGTTGAATTATAAATTCTTAATACGTTGGTTAAGTTTAAAAATTAAAAAAAAATGATATTCTGCTTTATTAATTTAAATTAACATATAAAATATTTTTATGACTATCCATTAATAGTATAATTTTCAAAATTTTAAAATATTTACAAATTTGACCTATGTATTAAGAATTTTTAATTCACTGGTTAAAATATTAAAATTTAATATAGAACATGAGTTATGTAAGTTTACAAAAACTTATTCTTTGAATAAATAAATTATTCCTCATATATGAGTGCATAAAGCTAAAATAGTTGATTTATAAGAGAAAGATGATTTTATCTCATAAAACAATTTTGTAGAGTTGAGTTAAATATAAATTCATATTCTAGTATGATATTAGAGTCAAAATAGTATATAAATAAGGGACTATCCTTACTTTATAAATCAATTTTATAAAATTAAAATTTTAACATAAACTCATATTATGAGATGTACCAAAGTTTATCTTAGATTTATTAAAAAGTCAAATAAAGTATATAAGTATAAAATTATCTTTACTTTACAAAATTTTGTATCATTGAATTAGGCATATACTCACATTATAAAATGATACCAAAGTTTATCATAAATTTATAAATAAATAAATAAATAAAAGAGAACTCATCATGTGATATATTGAAGAAAAAAAATTCAATATCACATTAATATAAAATAAGATTAAAATAAAATATAAGTAAAGTGAATAATGAACAAATAGGATAAAAAAGAATTAAATGTTACATCAATCATAAAAGACTAAGTGTTTGTTTAGAATCAAATAAAAAATACATATTTAAGACTTTCTATATTCAACAAAAGTAATAGAGTAGTTTTACCATGAATTAAACATACCGTAAGTTATATCTAAAGTCACCCTTTAAGATTAGTTTTCTATTATTGAGATGATACGTGTCTTTGTTGAGTGAATAATGGATTCTGACGATTTGTTTCATGTGTGTGCATAGATCGAATCGAAGTGTCTTTGTTAAGAAAGTGGTGGTGCTGACATGTTTGGCAGCAGCACAAGTCGTGTCCAAGATTGTGTTTTGTCACGTCAAGGGTAGTGTATCATGTGGTCGATGCTGAGTGCTTTTGATTTCTAGATGCATGTTAATGATGAATGATAATCATCTTCCACGTACGTTTGCCACAAACAACAAAGCCGAAAGCAAATGGGGAAAAGGATAAAAAGCAATTTTAATTGGATGAAATTGGTCTTGCCCTTAGATTACCCTCTCCCACGCTGCCACGTGCATGCGATTCGCCTGTTGCTCACATGCATGCTAATTCTTCATCTTTCTTTAACAAATACGTTAATTTTTAAAACGGAGAAATTAACAAAACAAAATTCGTCCACCATTAATTAGTTCAAGGTAAATTTAAATATAATAATACACGTTAAATACTTGCTACAAGAATTTCACTGTCAATAAAACAACATTTGTCTACTATAGAACAACTTATTTATTCAAGGATGCTATTGTACTAAGGTATGAATTTGCTTCCCACTTATATAATTTTGACTAATTAACAAGTCACTGAATTTAATTCTCATAAGTAAGATATTCAGTTCAAAATTTTGTGTAAAAAAAAAATGTGATTAAAAGAAGAAATTATATTAAAAGTAATCAATCAAATTTTTTGACAAAAAATTATTAATTGATAAAACCAAGAAATGCTTTATAATAACAAAATATAGTTAAAAAAATATAATTTTGAGTATATGACTAAATGAGATTTTTGCTTAGTGGATGAATTTTATTGATAGAAGAATCGAGAATAATAATAGGAAAAAAGGGTAAAAGGTAAAAAAGTATGTTGGGAAATCATGATGAATTTCGTGCATTGTTTGGTAGGACTAGAAATAGGGAAGCAGTTGGGAACGCCCTGAGAAGGAAGCCAATCCATTAGCCGCGGTAGGAATGTTAGTGTTGTCGCTTTTGCTTTGCTTTTGGTATTTGCTTTAAGAGTTAATTCCCTATTTATTATTAGTGTAAATTTATTTATATTAATAATTAATTATATCTTTTAATAGTGTCATGTTAATTATTTATTTAATAAAATAAAATAAAATAAAATAATTTAAAAGATTTGGTTGATTATCAGTGTAAAAAATTTTATACTGACAGTGTATAAATGATTACCTCTTGCTTTAATCATTCACGGAACCAACGTACGTCTTGCTGCTCATGTTCCCTATTTGGTGTAACTCTTTCGGACTCCCATCAAACCCAATGCAAAAAATAACCCTAATTTCTCCTTTCAATATTCACTTCAAAAATCGCCTTTATATCAGTAATTTTTCTGGATTCTGTTTAAACTTTAAAGATTTTTAACCCCTCACAAATCGAACTCGTCCAAACACCATACCCAGATTAGGATTTATGGGCCTTGTTTAATTTTTATAATCTTTATCCATTCAATTTACATTTTTAAAAAAAATTATTAATCAAAAATAGTCAAATACTTAATATGACAAAAAATAAATGTTTTGGTCCAAACCGACTAAATTTGTCCATTAAAATCCGTAACCTAACCCACTTAAACTGAAGCTGCATTCTGGCAGATTTTCATAAAAAAAAATTAAATAGTGAGGACTCGTTCAGATTAGAGTTTTTAGATCCAAACTTGCCGGATGTTTACCCCTACCTTTTTGGGCAGGTAAAGACTAGTGGTTCCTTAAAGATTAAAGTTTAATTTTTAAGTCAGATATAGATTTATAATCAAAATATTCCTTTAAGTTAATCATCCATATCCTCTCTAGTATAAATTTTTTTATATTAATAACTAATCATATTTTTTAAATTATTTTATTTTATTATTATTTTATTAATAAGTAATTGACAGTATATAAGTAATTACTTTACTCATTAAATATATTGACTTAGTAGTTGAAAATTATACTTTTTAATTATTAAAAAAATTTAATTTTTTTAACATTTTTAAATTAGGATAAATGTAGTTAATTATATAATATCAATTAAGTTTAATTTTATATTTACACTAACATACATTAATAAATAGTTTTTAATTATACTTTTAATAATAAACGAGTTGTGTTGAACTAATTTGTTAAATATATTTGTGAATAAAAATTACTTTTCTTTTTCTTTTCCAAATTTAAGGATAAAAAATGAATTTTGAATTAAAAAATTAAAAATATATTTGCTTTGTATATAATTGACTAAAAACACATTTAACAAGAAAAGAAAAGACAATAATACTACTCTATTAGCGTGTAGGCTGAAAGACCGAATAGTCTAGCATATGCTTAACATATTATTGTGGGATTAATTAATATATGCGGTGTCAAAAAAAAATTAATATATGTCAAACGGGAATGTTATTAATTAGTACGGACATATTATGAACTGCTAGATATTATGAAAGATAACAGTACGAATTGATTAGAAAATAACGTGATCATTGCTATTTTCATCTGTGCTTATTTATTATTTTTTTTAAGGTTGTTTGTGCTTATTTATGAAAAGCACCACCCATGTTTTTTAATAAATAACAATATGATTATTCATGTTGAAAGTTCTTGCAATAATGATTGCAATGCTCTTAATATATTTTACAAAATAATACATACACACAAAGTTCTTATGTTTTATTACACTTTATCATTTATCAAACTCATTCAACATTGTTGAAGGAATGAAGATTTATATTTCATTGTGTAACTTATTCACAGGAAATAAATTTTTAAAATAACAATTATGGATACAAGTGATATTAGATTCGATTTTTTGAAATAATATTTTAATTTGAATTTTATGTATAAAAAAAATGTAATTAGAAGAAAAGGACAAAAAATAATCAATCAAGTTTCATGATAAAGATAAGTGAGTGATCGAAATATCATTAAATATTTTATATTAAATATCATCAAAAAAAATTATTTTATATTAATAATATAATTAAAAAAAATTAATTAGCAAGCGTCTAAAAGTTGTTTGTATCCCCACGATTTGTTGTAGTTGCTTGGGTCCCTTGCTTTTTTGTCTTAGAATAATCATTTTAAAACAACTTTTGGGTCAGGTCATTTTGTAGCTAGAACTTTAATCATGAAGAACAAGCTTGACACATTTTTTAAAAATATATTATACTACATCCCACCTGCATGAACTTGCCCCTAATCCTCTCAATTACAAGGCACAAAGTAGATCCACTATTGTGACTATTTTGTCATTATATATGGACCACTACATTAAAAACCACATATTCATTTGCCCCTCTTCAGAGGTAAAAGATTTACTCCATAATGTTCTGCTATTGCATGAAATTGTGCCACAAAATGGATAGACACAATCGTAACTTTATCATGTCATAATCTTTAACTACTATCAATCATGTAGCAGACTAGCAGTTGTGAATGCTCTATGTATACACGGAAAAAGAGTAACGTTTTCACATTGCACTCAAATTAGTTAATACCTAAGCTTTCATTTCTGGTTATTTAACCTCTAAAACTTCAATTATGTGGCTGATAATTCATCATTGCTCTCTAAAGGAGGGTATGAGAAAAGAAAAAAACTAGGCACACCTGAGATGATGCAGAATGTTAGAAGTTAGCAACCTGATATTTGGTTGGCTTTTTTTATTGATAATTTGTTAGTGCTCTAAAAAGTTGGAGTGTACACGTGTCGGACAATGTTACAAGTTATCCAATATATATATGGAAGCTGGCAAGCTTGGTTGAAGTGCACATTGTGATTGTCCTACTCATACCTCACAAGGCAAAGCTTCTCCCAAGACTTATCTAGCAAAAACCTCTATAGCTAAAATGATTTCTTTTTCTGATCATGAGATGATCTTGATCTTTGGTCTCCTAGGTATTAATTAAACTTATAGTACAACTCTCCTTTTTCAACTTTGATGTCATCATGAAAATAATTTATATTTAGTTAGTCTTTAGCCATCTTTTTTTGAACTTTTTCATATAATCTCATTAATTAAGCTTTTTCATCACACGATGAGTGCAATGCATGTAACAACATTGCTTTCAGTTTTATCTACTTTTGTCTTTATATCCTTCGCTGATGCTCTCTGTTCTCTTCCTGTCTGTCTATAGGTAACATCGTGTCATTCTTGGTGTTCTTAGCACCCTTGTAAGTCCTGTCTGAAGCAAAAATAGTAATATAATTTGGAATGAATTCCATTTACTCTCACTTGAGATGCTGAAAAACTTTTGTCCATCTTTCTAATCTCGCAGGCCAACCTTCTATACAATTTACAAGAACAAATCATCTGAGGGGTTTCAATCAATTCCATATGTGGTTGCACTTCTTAGTGCACTGTTGCTTCTATATTATGGCTTCATAAAGACCAATGCTACATTGATTATCACCATCAACTGTATTGGATGTGCTATAGAAGTTTCATACCTAACAATGTACATTATATATGCTCCCAAGAAGCAGAAGGTGAAACCAACATGCTGAACTCTTTTCCATTTTGTTCTAGATAAACGATATTTAATTAAAGTAACTGCACAAAATTCTTCAATTTGAAACCAGCTTTACTGCTGTTAACAGTGTTCTAAATTGTAACTTGGTAAGGTAAGCTTAAGTTATTACCTAAAGGATGAACAAGGATGATTGACTTGTGATGGATATTGCAGATTTCCACTATGGTATTGATACTCATTTGTGACGTTGGAGGTTTTGGCTTAACCATGTTGATCTCCACCTTCGCTGTGAAGGGCATTAACCGTGTTCATGCTGTTGGATGGATTTGCGCCATTTTTAACATAGCAGTGTTCGCTGCTCCCTTAAGCATAATGGTATATTCTATATTTAAATAACATAGATCTTGTTGAGTTTGAAATGCAATCTGATTTATTGGCATCTTCTTGTATATATGAATAAAAAAAAGACATGTAAGATCTCTATGTTAATTGCAGAGGAGGGTCATAAAAACCAAAAGTGTAGAGTACATGCCATTTTCGTTGTCCTTGTTTCTCACCCTCTGTGCTACCATGTGGTTTTTCTACGGATTCTTCGACAAGGATTACTTCATTATGGTGAGAAATAACATATATATAATCTAACACTCATCCAACTAATGCTTTTCTCTTGTATGTTTGAAGCAAAACTGATGAATCTGTTGTTTTGATGCATCATCAGCTGCCAAATGTGCTAGGATTTCTTTTTGGCATCTCTCAAATGATCTTATACATGATTTACAAGAAGGCTGGGAAGAATATAAAAACCAATTGTACACAGCAGCAAGAAAGGGAGGGCACAGAGAACTCCAAGCAGCACAGCTGCGATGGCTATAAAATCGATATCCCTTCACTGGTGGAAATGAAAGAGAACCAACTCAACTAAGTTTGATGCTATTATGTTAATAAGTATCCAAGGTCTAGCGTTGATGAAGGACTATATATAGGCTTAGGATGAATGCTGAATAACTAATGTCTCGTTTCTAATTATACTATTGTAGTAATAACAACTATTGCCACTTGGCATGCATTGACTATGTAATAGATTAATGATTATAGTTCTTGTTAAAGTATATGCTTTGATTCTGATTCTGAATGAAATCCCAAAAGTTCTACATGTTTAAAGCAACACTAAAGTCTAAAGGCTCAATAATAAAAGTTGTTTCTCTAGATAAATAAAACTAAAAGGGAACAAAAACTGGTACTGATGGTAGGTAACATACTCTACATGATTTGATAGGGTGCAATATTTTTAAGTATGCAACACTTTTCTCAATTATGATATAATGGCCTGAGGTGTGTGGGGTTGATTTGTCTTAAATTGGTTATTATGGATGGCGTAAACAACAGGTTAGCCCCTTTTATTAATCAAAACAAAAGCAAACAAGTGGAGATGAGTATAAATTTGATAATGATGGCAGAAAAGATTTGTCTAAACTATGGTAGCTTCCTTAAAGTATATATTCTTAATGAATCAGATCTGTTCATTGTTGATCAATGAGGGTATAACAGTCCCATTGTAGTTTCCACCTATGACCCACTAGGGCCATTACCTGATGTTGACAATTCCAAAATCAAGATCCTTATTATTATAAAGCAGGATTATACATTGGTAAGCCAAAATAATTGCTCACATGAAGAGAAAAGTACAAAAGAATTGGTAGATGATTTTTCTCTCGTATGAGAGATTATTGATTCTCTAACAACACAAGTCACAAACCCTGTAACTGTAAGATCTAACTACCAAGCAACATGGGAGACAGTCTTAATAGAGGCTTCAATGTGTCAGGATGAAACTTTCTTGCAAAAAGGAAGCACATGTTGGTGGTGTTCCCTTCATAAACACATGTTGATCGAAAGCGAACGAGGTTCAGAAAGTCCTTTGAAATATCATTGCACACAAATGTTCGAGGATGAGCACCAGGCCATGACCAATCCACCCAAGTGACGCTACGATTGGAGCTTAAGTGAGGGTACTTCATATGCACCAAAGTTTGTTTGTAATGCTCTTCCAAAAATAAAATTGAAGTACTAAAACTTAGTTGCCGAAATATGGGGAAGTATTTGGTGTCAGACACAATGTGAATGGCAAGCTCACGATGCATTTCAAACCATTGAGACCCTTTTCTCCAATCGGTTATGTTAACCATAGGCCACAAAATTTCTGGCATGTATCTTCCTCTGCCATCTTTTCCTGGATCATCATAGGAGCTTAAGAAGCTAGTGTTTGAGTTCATGAGATAGTCATACACAGTTCTGAAGCCAAATAATGGGATGCAGGATTCTGAAAGCAACACAAAACGTTGATTGGACAAGTCCATTAGTGCATTTCCCAGAAGACGCCTCTCAGCCTCCATCATTGTTTCTCTGCCCCAGGTCACTATCTGCCATTAACAAAAAAGGATTTGATTCATTCATAAACATTCAACTTCATCCATTCACAATGTCCAGCATAATAAGCACAATGTCCACAACTGCACAACCAATCCAAAGAACTTAATATTTCGTCAAATTACATAATTCCCTGCTATTTTAATATTTACGATAACCTCTTTTATAAGAGAATTTATGGTAATATTGTTTAAATAATTAAGAAAAATTTGAATAATATATAAAAAAAACTATTAGTGTAATATTTTTTAAACAATTAATGAGATTAGCATAGGGATAAAAAGAAAAAGAAAAAAAAGTAAGAGCTTAACATGCAATTTGACAAAACATTTAGTAATGTCAGCGGTGACAAATCTAGTACTTTGAGTCAATCGGGTTAGTTAATTTAAAATAAAATAAATAGTAATTATTATTATATTTAAATATATTTTTAGTCTTAACAAAATAACAAATTTTCCTGTAAGAAAAATATTTTCAATCTCTTTAAAAGTTGAAACTATGTTTTTAGTCTATATTATTATGTGATCATTTTTAACTACTTCCATTATACCTATATATAAATAAAAAAATACTTAATTTTTTTGGACTAATATAAATAAATTTTAATTAAGCCAATGTTATTTAATGCTCTCAATAAAAAATACTTCTAAGACAATAAATAAGACTATAAGAGCACTAACTATCATAGATGTAATTAAAAATATTTTAATAAATGTAATATGTATTTTATGTGAAATCATGAAAATCAATACATTTAATAATTATTTATTTCGTGTGAAATTGGTTTTTTTACTTATAGATAAGTCCAAATGGAATACTTATATGTTACCAAGTGGTAATCATAAGTGGTACTCACAATTGGATGTGATACTTTGCTATGACACATCTAATTTTTTTTTATAAATTTTTGAAACAAATGTTATTTATATACCTTACAATGATCATTAGGGATAAAAATAGGAAGTTTAGATTTTAGGATGAGTAAAAATCAAAGAAAAATATTTGACAAAAATCAAAATCATTTTTTACTCATTTTATAAGGATAATAAACAATGTATATAAATTTTAAAATGATAAAAAAAATTTAGACCAAAATCAAACTCGCTTATTTAATATAGACTTAAAAATGTATTTAAATTTAATTATTATATATGTATATGAAAATAAAGACAAAAATATTAAAAAAAATAGAAAAACACTAATTATGAATGAAAAGTTAGCTCAAACGGATAAAAACTAAGAAAGAAACCATCTAATAAAAGAAAAATTTAATAATAATTAAGAAATTAGAGACAATGAATTCAAATTATAAATTTAGAAGAGTTAAAAAATTTATGATTCAAGCTTTAAGATCTTGAATTCAAATTTTGATTTAATAAAAAAAATAATATTAAAAAAATAACTTTAATGTAATTAATAGGTTGAGAGAGACTAGTTTCAGAAAAACAGAAAAATACTCTTGCAAAAAAAAAAAAAAAAGGTTAAAGAGTACAAATGCATCCCTTTCATTTACATGTAGGTCCACCATTGAATGATGGTGTAATTTACTCATAATGCATGGAAGTAACAATTAAGTTTGCATTAAAATTTGTGCTAAAGTCATTTTAATATTTATCTCGAGCTTTCAATTAAGTGTTTAATTTCTCAGTAAAACATAAAATAAAATTATGGTATCCGATGGTCAGAAATTATAGTAGATATATATGATTTTTAAGATGGTTATATTTGAAATTTAACGACTTAGTTTAGATATCAGTTTGCAATTGAATGGCATACTATATCGGTGGATACATTATTAGAAAACTGTTTTTTTTTTTTAAATTATAAAAAAATATTTGCAGAAATTTTTTTGTAAATTTTCTTGCAAAATTAATTTTTCAAATTTTTTTTATGAATTTATTTGTGAAAAATAATTTATAAATATTTTTTTATAATTTTTTATATGAAAAGTAATCTACAAGAAATTTTTGCAAATTTTGTTACAATTTTAATGATCATAAAAATTATTTTCCATGGTAAAAATTTGCAAAAAATGTTATAGGAATTTTATTTTGTTTCTTGCAGATTTTCTTGTAAAAATAAATTCGTAGGTAATGTTTACTAAATAGTAAAAAAATTTCACAAGTAACTTTTTCCTTGTAGATTTTCTTGTCAATTTTATTCTGTAGGAAAAGTAAAAAAAAAAACGTTTAAATTTATAAGTTTAAGAATTAAAAGATTTTTAATTAAAAAATGTTATTTTACTAAATTATTTATAAATATATCAATATAATTAATTTTAATTTTCACTAAATTAAATATATAAAATTTTATAAATATGATAAATTAATGATAATGAGTTTTAATTTAATGATTATTTATAAAAAATTTAAAATTAAAAGTATTTACTTAATAAAATATTATTTTACTCAATTATTTATAGATATTTCATAAATAAAAAAATATATATTTTTATTTTAATTAAATGTATAAATTAATGATGATGAGTTTTAATTTAATGATAGTTTTTAAAATAAAATTATTTAATAAAAAAACTAATTTTTAGAATATTGAATATTTTAAAAGTTAAAATAATTTATAATAATATAATTTTGTTGTTCAATATAGTGAATTAATCATTTTTCTAAAGACATAATCTAATTAATATTTAAAAGAAAATTTCAAGTCTCACATCGATTAGAAATAAAATAATTAAAGAGTATATAAGTTAGGGCAACACTTACTTTATAAGTTGATTTGTATGATTGAGTGTTAGATTTATAATGTATAATTTAAGAGTTTAAAAAGTTATATATCACATGTTGAAAGAGTGGAAGCATTTAAAAGTTGATTAATTATTAATAAAATTCGTAGTAATTTCTTTATTTTTTTATAAGAAATTTTCCTGTAGAATTTCTTGCGAAAAATTTGTAGGAAATTTTCTTGCAGATTCTTTTCGTAGGAAGCTTTTCTTGAAAAAAAATTTCGTAGAAAAAATTCGCAGGAAATTTTTTTTTGCAAGAAACTTTGTAGAAAAATTTCTTGCAAATTTTAAAATCATATTATCCATGAAGGTATTACTTGGAGAGAAAGTTTTGCAGAAAAATTTGCAAGAATAATGTTTACTGCAAATTTTTACATAAAATTTACATAAAAAACCGCATATAATAAAAAAAATTTTAATAGTGATAACATATGTACTATTTAGGATTATTTAATTTTATTTAATTTGATGGTCATAATATAAGATATGATACCAAAGTAAAATATGAATGAGAGTAAAATAGAATAAAAATAAGATATATAAAAGCATAATAATTAAATGTTTGATCCACATTGAAATAATAAATCAAATACCAAGTCAAATAATATTATTTTATTTATATGTCTTGTATTTATTATAGACTATTAAAATATGATACAAATTATGTCAAAATAAAAAAAATCATTGTTTCATTAAAATTATATATAATTATATATAAAATTAACTTTTAATTTAATTGTTTAAATTTATAAGTTATAAATATGATTTTAACTATATTATACAAAATTAATTTTTATATATGTAGTTAATTTTCTATTAAAAAATATATACTATAATTTTAAAATTATAATTATTATTTAAATAT